TTATGTTCTCACTCTATATGAATTGTGTTTTTAGGCGGATACAACTTGATGGGTTGTATCAAAGATATCCCCATTCTCAAAGGTGACAACTACACGAAGTGGATGAAAAAGATTGACCTAGCCTTCATCCTAACTGAGGTGGACTGGGTAGTCACCTCACCGTGTCCCACTGAGCCTGTGGCACCAGTGAAGGAGACAAACAAGGATGATGCCACTTGGGCAACTAGAGAGAGGGATTTTGAATCCTAAAAGATGTCCTATGACCTTGAGCATAGGAAGTGGATCACTGCCAACAAGAAATATTTGGCTGTGATAAAGAACACGATTGAGTTTGCAATTGTGGGCTCAATCCCAGAGTGTGACACGGTCACCGAGTACCTCGATAGAATAAAGAGTCAGTTCACTGGCTCTTCAAAGACATATGCTACCCAGCTGATAAAGTAGCTGGTGATAGAGAGGTACTTTGAAAATGGTGGTATAAGAGAGTACATACTAAGGATGAGCAATTTGGCATCCAAGCTAAAACCAATGGATCTGGCTCTCAACGAAGAGTTCCTTATCCATCTGTTGTTTGCTTCCTTGCCAAAGGAATTTGACACTTTTGTTGTCAACTACAACATACAGCCCGAGAAGTGGGACTTAGAGAGGCTCATGGCTATGTGTGTGTAAGAGGAGGAGAGAATGAAAGCTACCAATGGTGGCACTATCAATTATGTGAAAGACAACAAGAAAAAGATTAATAATGCTAACTCCTCAAAGTCAAAGGGAAAGTGTCCCATGCTGCATCAGCCTCAGCAGAACAAGTTCATAGTAGAGAAAGACCAGTGTCTCTATTGTGAGAAGACGGGACATTACAAGAAAGATTGTCCCGATTACTTAAAGATGATCATGGCAATGAAATATGAGAACATTATTACATTCATAAATGAATCCCTGTATGTACAGTATTTGATATCTACTTGGTGGATTGACTCAGGTGCAACTGTTCATGTTGCTAATTCCTTACATGGATTCTGTTCGACGAGGACTACGCAAAGAAGAGAAAGACACATTAAAGTTGCAAATGGAGTCCGGGCAGATGTTGAAGCCGTTGGCGATCTTTCTCTAGAGCTTGCTGATGGCTTCACACTTTTACTTAGAGATGTACTTTATGTTCTCTCTTTACAGAGAAACTTGATTAGTGTTTTATGCTTGGACAATGATGGATATGATTGCCATTTTGGAAATGGCAAATGTAAGATAACATTTAATAATGCATGTGTTGGTCTTGCTATCTTATAAAATGAGCTTTATTTGTTATCACTACGTGATGATGTGAATGTTGTATGCGATGATGGGAACATTGCGTGCGACAATGAGAATGTATCCTCGTCTGCGGATGTAAATAGAAAACGAAAGAGAGCTCACGATGCGTCGTTGAAATTATGGCACTGTCGTTTAGGCCATATTTCGAGGGAGAGAATAGAAAGACTAGTTAAGAATGATATTCTTCCTCCATTAGAGCTCTTATATTTAGAAAAATACAGAGAATGCATAAAAGAAAAGTATGTAAAGAAAATTAAGAAAGATGCCAAACAAAGCGCAAGAATTTTATAGATTATTCACATAGACATCTGTGGTCCATTTCCAGTAAAGAGTGTGGATGGTTATGATTCGTTCATAACATTCATAGATGATTACTCCTATTATGGCTACATTTATCCAATAAAAAAAGAACCAAAGCATTGAATAAATTTAAGATATTTAAGGCATAAGTTGAAAACCAACACAATTTAAAGATTAAGATAGTCACGTCCGACTATGGGGGAGTACTACGGTCGGCATACCCCATATGACCAAGTTCCCGGACCTTTTGCAAGGTTCTTATAGGAGAATGGCATAGTAGCTCAGTATTCTACACCGGGCGAACCTTAGCAGAATAGGAGTAGCTGAAAGATGCAATCGTACCCTAATAGATATGGTGCGTAGTATGATAAGTTACTCCACCTTACCGTTGAGCCTGTGGATGGAGGCGTTAAAAACTGTCATTCATATTCTCAATAGAATACCAAGTAAGTTGGTGCCCAAAACACCATATGAGTTGTGGACAGGAAGAGTACCCTCACTAAATCACTTATGTGTGGGGGGGAGTCCTGCTGAGGCTAAAGTATTTAACCCAAACATTGGGAAGCTAGATCCCAAAATAGTAAGTTGCCATTTTATTGGCTACCCAGAAAAGCCAAAAGGTTTTCATTTCTACTATCTAGACAGACATATAAAGTTTATGGAAACAAGACACGCTGTCTTCTTAGAGGATGAAATGATGAGGGGGAGCATGGTAGCTCGAGAAATTGACCTTGAAAGAGAAGCGGGTGTATGTGCCCACTCCGATGATTCATGAGCCATTTTTCTCACTACCTGTTTGTCGCTGCACCGACAATGCAAGATACTATAGTGCCAGCACCTGTTGTTATTCCGCCTATGTGGCAACAATAAATGATGATGAGGAACCTGTTCTTCAGGATCCTATAGAACCTATTGCCACACATGAGGGGGAGCATCAACAGCCTCAAACAGAAGATGTGCCAAATGTGGAGGCCCCTAGAAGGTCTCAAAAAGTTAGAAAATCAGCTATACCTGCTGACTATGAAGTATACAATACTAAGAGGAATTTCAAATGGAGGATGATCCCATCTTATTTGAAGAAGCCATGAGAAGTGATCATTCATCAAAGTGGCTTGAGGCCATGGAAGATGAAATAAAATATATGAATCCCAATAAATTTTGTGACTTGGAAATAATTCCTAAAGGAGCCAAAATAGTAGGCTGTAAATGGGTCTACAAAACAAAACTTGACTCTCAAAGGAATATAGAGAGATATAAAGCGAGACTTGTGGCAAAAAGGCTTTACACAAAAAGAAGGGATTGATTACAATGAGACCTTTTCTCCAGTCTCATGTAAGGATTCCTTCAGAATCATAATGGCATTAGTGGCACATTACGATTTAGAATTATATCAGATGGATGTAAAGACGACATTTCTCAATGGGGACTTGGAGGAAAATATTTACATGGCATGACCGAAAGGTTTTGTCATGGAAGAAAAAGAACGAATGGGATGCCGCCTAAAGAAATCCATTTATGGATTAAAACAAGCTTCAAGACAGTGGTACTTGAAGTTTGATCAGACAATAAGGAATTTTGGGTTTAAATAGAATATAGAGGACAATTGTGTCTATGCAAAGTTTAAGAATGAGAAGTTTATCTTGCCTGTCCTGTATGTGGATGATATCTTACTTGCTACTAGTGATGTCAATCTACTACTGGAGACAAAAAGTTTTTGTCCTCAAAATTTGATATGAAAGATCCTGGTGAAGCTTCGTTCGTTCTAGGGATCGAGATTCACCAAGATAGAAGTAAAGGGGTATGAGGACTGTCACAAAAGACATATATAGAAAAGATCTTAAAGAAATTCAATATGCACAAATGTATTCCCTCACCTGCTCCTATAGTTAAGGGCGATAGATATGGGGATTTTCAATGCCCCAGGAATCAGTATGAGATCGGTCAAATGAAAATGGTTCAATATGCTTCACCTGTCGGAAGCTTATAATATGCTCAAATATATACGCGCCTTGACTTATCATTTATTACCGGGTTACTTGGTAGATTCCAAAGCAATCCTAGAACAGAACACTGAAAATTAGTAAAGAAAGTCTTACGTTATTTGCAAGGAACGAAAAGTCTCATGATGACGTATAGAAGATCAGATTCACTCCATATAGTGGGATATTCAAATTCTGATTATGCGGGAGATGATAGAAAATCCACGTCTGTATATGTATTCACTCTCGTAGGGGGAGCTATTTCATGGAAAAGCTCAAAGCAAACCATCACTACATCGTCCATAATGTATGTCGAGTTTATAGCGTGTTATGAGGCAACAGGGTAGGTGAACTGGCTAAAGAAGTTCATACCCAATTTGAAGGTGGTTGGCGACATCTATAGACCACTTAAGTTATACTGCGATAATAATCCGGTAGTACAGTATGCTCATAACAATAAGTCAAGTGGTGCTGCTAAACACATTGACATAAAGTATTATGTTGTGAAAGATAAAGTTCGGGATCATGTCATAAGTCTTGAGCATATAAGTATCGAAAATATGCTCGCGGATCCACTTATAAAAGACTTACCACCCAACGTGTTCAGAGAACATGTAGCCGGTATGGGTTTAAGGGAAAGCCTATAATTCCTAGACAAAAGAAGGCCCAAAGTTAAGTATCTATTTCAGAACAGAGTGGTGTGTTGTAGTTGTTAAATCTATCGACAATTGACCGTGATGATGAAACATGCTCTATGTGCTAATCTGTAATGGAATGAACAAAAGTAAATGACATGAAATTAAAAGATGGTAGGAGATCAAGGGGGAGATTATTGGATTGATCTCGAATCCTAAACTGGGCCCAACGGCCCAGTTGGGCCTTTGATCCGCACCCTGATCGGGAGCGCCTAGCCCACTATGGCTGGAGGGCCCCTGTCACACTGCGCTATATATAGAGGTGGGGGCCGGTGGCTCTGAGTACAAGGATGACCGAGCTACAGTTCCCCCACCGAAATCACTAATCCGATCTAGAGGGTGCGCAGCCAGTGACGGAAAGCTCAACTGCCTCGCCGCCACCGAACTGCGCCACCCGGACTGCGTCACCGAACTCCACTACTTTCGCCGACCCGCCGCCACCGGACCGTGTCACCTACAACCACTACACGGCACCACTGCCTTCACCGACTCCATGGCAGATGTGAGCAGATCCTCCTCCAAGGGCACAGACGGTCAGCTCTTTCCATCCCTTCGTCTCCCTCTAGATCTAGTAGCTCAAAGTTCTTGGGTGTGTTCATCATGTTTATAGTAAGATGTACCCGCTAGATCTACGGCTAAGGTCATGTTGTTTCTAAAAGAGGGCTCCATGCTTTATTGTTAAAAATCATATACGAAGGACCCACATGCTTTGAGCAATAAGCTAGAGACAAGCCACATGCCTCTTGATGACGTGAAGCTTGACACCATGCTTGAAGTTGACCACAATCCCAAACTGAAACTCTAGAGGGGACTCCATGCTGGGAGAATGCCGGAACACATAGTGCTGATAGAGGTGGATTATCGCGAGCTTGATCTCCTGGATGGCGAACTTCTGGCCGATGCAAACCCTGGGGCCGATTCCAAAAGGGATGAACGCGTATGGGTGCCGCTTCTTTTGCTCGTCACCGGCTGGTTCGAACCGCTCTGGTCGGAACAACTGCGGGTCCGGGAAGTTGTGGGGATCCTTGGCGAGGACCCCTGGTGCCATCCACACCCATGTGCCCTTTGGAAGCACATAGCCACCAATCTCCAGTCGCTCGGAGGTCTCTCGCGCCACCAATGGCGACACCATGAACAGCCTCATCGACTCCTTCACCACCTGCATACATATACATACACGTGTGTCAAAGTCCATAGATCAAGATATCATCAAAGCCTTATTCAACGGCGTGCCTGATCGAGGTAAGGGAATTTGGACTGAAGATCGTCCGCCGTGGGCACGGTGCCGCGAGGGCCGAACGTGTCGATCTCCCGAAGCAGATTCTCCTCCACTTCCGGGTGCTTGGCGACGAGGTAGACCACGGAGGATAGCGTGAACGCCGTGGTCGCCGACCCAGCGAGGAGGTGCTCGTAGGTCAACGCGCTCAAGTAGTCCGGCGAGAGCAGCTCCCGCGTGGACGCGTCACTCTCCTTCGCCGCGAGCACCACGGAGAGGAAGTCCTTGTGCTGCTGTGACTGTGACGCCGCCGGCGCACGCTCCCTCTCCGCTGCGCAGGCGGCGACGAGGCCGTCCGCCATCCTACGGAGCTCGCCGTTCACACGGGTGATCTCCCGGTCGGCGGAGCTGGGGACCCTCAAGAGCACCTGCCGCAGCGGCTTCTGCAGGAAGGGCACGAGCGTGCCAAGAATGGTGGAGAGCGACCCCGACAGGTCCATCTTGAGCCACGTGGTCGAGTGGATGTGCATGTTTATGAACTTCGATGACGCCTTCGCCTTTGCTGCATCACCGACGTCGTCGACACCCTTCGTATCATCGTCAGGCACCGCCGGCTTTCCCGAGAGGCCAAAGTCCGCAGCGAACGCCGCTTGACCGATGACGTCGGTGGCGAGGCTCAGCGCCATCTTGGAGAAGATGACCTCCTCGCCGTCGTCGAGGTTCGTCGTCGCAGCGCGCTCGATGCACGACTCCATCGTCGGGATCAGCCCGGCGAGGTGCGACGGCTGGTAGATCGAGACGATAACATTTCGCATCGCCGACCACCTCGAATCCCTGCGGACACGCGCACGTTGACTAATAGACACGACCGAATTGGATTTGAACTTCAGTTTTCAGTGATTCTCGGAGATGTGTTTTCCTTTGACTTGATTTTGGCAACAAGGTTGCTACCTTGTAGCGAAGAGGCCTTTCCGGTGTATTTGAGAATTGGCGATGGGCGAAGGCAAGCTCCTGTTAGGCATTCTCTTGAACTTCTTGATGCCCACCTCCTTGCAGAGCTCTGCGTCGGCTACAATGATCAATGGCTGCCTTCCCAGGGCCGGTCCTGAGGGTTTAAGGGCCTAGCCTTCCCCCTAAAATGAAATCTGGGCAAAATATGATGGAATCAAAAACACATATTTTATCAAGCAATTTAATATTTACAAAAAAATGTTATGAATTTTTATAATCGACCAGATGTTCTTGGTATTTAACATATTTTCATTCTGCAAAATAAACCCATCACGCTTCTCACAGAACTTCTCTTTCAAATTTAACTATAAAATAAGTATCTTAAAATAGTTTATTATAAATATATAATGACAACTAATGTAATAATGCTTATTGCACAGGGATTATTGTGTATATATATTTGATCAAACTTAAAAATATTTGACTCCTTGATTAATAAGGTATGTACTTATTTTAGGATGGATGAAGCAACAAATAGTGCGAGCAAGCGATAAAAGGTACTCCGCTTCAAATTATAAGATATTTTAGCTTTTTTAATTCATAACTTTTACTATGCACCTAAATATATTATATCTAGATACATAGTAAAAGGTATAAATATAAATTATCAAAACATCTTATAGCGTGGGACTAGGAAGTAGGAATTAATAGTCTATCGACAAAGTCATCAAAAGTCGTGGATCAGCCATGTTGCCACGAATAGGTGAGATTATACAAGTGTACAACTCCTCCATTAAGTGAAACGATGCCAATTGAACGTGTCGCCCGCATCTCTGACAGCCAAACCAACGCTGCCTTTAGATTCCTGGGAGGGCCCCAAGGATCCGAGGGCCCAGTGCGGGGGCACTGCTCGACCCCCGCCAGGACCGGGCCTGTGCCTTCCCATATGAAATCTGCAGGCAGATGGAATCAAAACTATTTGCCTTTGACAAGTTGACATTATAATCGACCAGATGTTCTAAATAAGCACCCTGAACTTCTGAAATGCAGCGAGCGACGACGTTCAAGCAGAAGCAGCAGGGGGGGGTGATCACCTGAAGATAGGCCGTGCTTCTTGGCGAGCACAGGGAAGACGCAGGTGGAGGTGGCCGATGAGCGGCACGGGCCCGGGCCCGGGCCCGTGGCGCGCACCTTCCAGTACGGCTCGTACAAATGCACAAGCACTAGGAACCCCACAGCCATGGCCACGAAGGTGAAGGTGTACTCCTCCATGGCACCCAGAACCGTGCCCATCTCCATCGTTTTCCGATTATACGCGCCCTTGCTCTGACCTAGATTTATAGTCTTATAAGAGTTGTAGTTAATTGTTTGGAAAACTATAAAGAGATGACGGGTAGAAATCTATATAGGCAGATCAGTTACTATATGCCAGACTTGCGTCGATGATGATGGATGTGCCCATTATATATTGTAAGTGGAGACTTCATCTCCTCCTGTAGCTCCTCAATAACTTAGCATCAATATGATGGTATTGGTAATCACCAATACTGTTTTTTAGGTTTATTGAGGAAGATGCTGCAGCAGATCACCAATAATCTCTCCCAAAACACGAGGCCTACATGTCTGATCACTTTTTTCCTTTTCTCTCTCGACATCTTCTTATCCCCACTACTTGCTTGATCCCGGCCACCGCCGCGCCCAGCCGCGCCGCGGTCCCGACCCTGACCACGGCTGGCACCGTGCCCAGCTGCAGCCCCGACCCCAGCCAGTCCCGCGCCCCGGCAGCGCCTCGGCCTGGCCCCACGCGACGCCGGCCCCGATCTACGACCCCCGCCCCACCGGCACAATCTCCAACGACCCTGACTCCCGACGCGGCAAAGGAGGCCTTGAGGAGAGCCCTCTGTGTCTGCGACGTCGATGAGGCGGAGGTTGGTGGCGTCCCTGCTCATCAGCGTCGTCGAATCCACAGCACGAGACGGCATGGCCAGGAGATGCTTGTCGGAGTTGGAGGTGAACTCATCATGCACAGTGAAGAAGTGGCAGTTACTAGTGGGGCCCATCTATTGTGGGGAGATGCACCTTCCCAAGATGGCTAGTTTTTTGGTGATCACCAGAAAAAGGGGAGGGTATTGGGGATCAACAACAAAATAGCCCCATCTTCCCCAATATGACAGTTTTATGGGATAAGGGGCCTTATTGGTGAACTGCTGGAGATGCTCTAACAACCGACACGGATTTGTGGTTCATAGTCCCACTGTAAACAAAAGGTGAGTAGCAATAGCATATAATCATTTTGGTCCAAAAAAACAAGGCAAATTTTGCTTACGGACATCAAAATTTTGTGGTAATTGCCATTGCACACCATGAACATAAAATTTGACCGAGTATGCAGACACCACAGTCAATAAAATAATTATTTTAGCATTTCAGGAGAGAAAAACAACAGTGAAAGGATGTTTTTGCCCTTGGCTCGACCAACGTGGCATGGTTCAACACAATGTGAATAATAGCCGCCCGAGCCTCTCTCTCCCACAAGTATTCTCCTCTAACACAATTCTTTCTCTTGATCTCAGCCATTGAGAAGGGACGATGGCGTCGAGCCTCATAATTTGTGGTAGCTTTAGACCCACCCTCACCGGCGACATTTAGAGATGCTAAAGGGAACTTCCCTTGGTGCCGTTCAACCATTGTTCCATTGCATTGGCTGGCAATGTGTCAAATAAAGCCACAAAGCTTAGGCAAGAGGTTGTGCAAGTGCCTACTATTTCAACACGTTAGTGACCTGAGCATTCCTTGTCTTCCTCTCTCTCTTGGTCCAATTAAATCTCAAATTGGCTGATATTTTGGTCAATTTTGGTATGATGCAGACTGCAATGTTCTATAGGTTACATATTTGAAAAACATTAAGTTGAGTAATTGGTTAGGCTTAGCAAGCTTTCACAGTGTACGTTTCTCAAAGATTGATAGTGTTCCTGATCTGATGTGTGCATTGAGAAGGTGAATGTAACACCCTAGGTGTTAAGCTTGCATTTAGCCTTGGCATTGCATGAGCACAAGCATCATTGATCATTCATGAGCATGAGTATCTCAAATATAATCTCTATGTTTGCTTATATTGCATGTGTTGTCACTAAAATGCTTTACATATGCTAGGGTTTACATGTAACCAATGTATAAAATGTTGGTGGAACCTTAGGAGTACCTTAAACATGTTTAGAATGTCATATGGAATAACTTTGGTATTCATGACTAAGGCTAGTTTGGTGTCTAAGTCATAGCTATAGTGTAAATCATCATTTTCAAGTTGTATGTTTGACTGGAGTTGAACATTACTTTAGAAACTTTGCATGGTTGTGCACCCTAAAACAAAGTTGTAGAACTCAAGTAGTGTAACAACTTTTATTTTTTGGTCATAGGCTAGTTAAGCTCCTAACATGCTTGAATTTGGATCACAAGAATCAACATTGTACTGTTTTTGGATCTTAGAAAATTTTCTAAGTCAAGATTTGTTTTACAGTTTCATGTGCCTGACTTTGTGATGATGTATCTTCCTAACCTTTGCGAATTAGAAGATGATTTCTAAAGACATGTTGTAGCCCTTACATAGCTCTACAAATTTGATTCTTACAATTTTTGCTGAATCGCGCTGGTTTGAGAGTTGTGTGTGAGGAAGATGACGGGTTCAGTCGGACTGAAACGGCGTCGAGCGTTTCAGGGCTGGCCGGTCATGGCCGACCGGGCACAGAGCTTGGCCGCCGCATGGCCGGCGTCGGGCCCCCGTCGTGGCGTGTGGTGTGCGTTAACAGAGGAGCCGTGCTACTCATTTTAGTTGCTCGAGCGCACTCTCGCCCTCTCTGCTGCTCCCTCTCGCGCGCGCAGCAGAAGCGCCCTCACCGATGAGCCACCGCACCGCTCCACCATCGCCTTGCTCCCTCGCCACCACGCCATTGCCGCCTCCAGCTAGCCAATCGCTTTGTCGCCTTCCTCTCTATCTCCTCGACGTATTTGCTGGACCAGACAAGCCACGGTGAGGGCGGATTTCACCGTTCTTGTCCTCGCTGGGGTCGCTGCCTCCATGGCCGCCGTCACGGTGAGCTTGCCGCTGCTCTGCTCCCTCACGCATTCTCTGTTCTTCTTCACGTTAGCACTAGCTTAGGGTGTAGTCTAGCCTCGGTGATGATCTCACGGTGAACCGTAGCTTTGATGATGTTGAACACGACGGTTAGCGCCGTCGCGCTCTCGCCGCCGCACCGCTGCGCATGTGGACACTCTCGTCGGTGCTTCCACCCAAGCCCTAGGTAGTCTAGATAGGTCCGCATCATCACCACGGAACTATTGTGCCCCTCGCCTGGACTTGCCGTGGCCAGAGACGGCCGACGCACCTCCACACAGCGCCGCCGTGCCACCATGGCCGAAGACGAGCTATCTCTGGTGTGTCCCCGTGCGAGCCACCTACCTCTATCGACGCGGGAGGGTGCGAGGAACATGATGGTGGGGTCGGTTTCGCGGAAAGTTCACCGTCAGCGAGCTAGCGCCGGTCAAACCACCGCCCCTGTCTCTGTGTGACTGAGAGTGGGGTCCCCTGACTGCTGGGTCCCGCATGTCAGCGTCTGTAGTATTAGGTTTTGTTTATTTCTTTTCTAGATTTTTGTGCTAACTTTGAAAAATGATATCTAGAGCTAAGAGTGTCCAATTTTGGTGAACCAAATTTTGTTGGATTTTCATTAAGTTTAGTATTTTATAAAAATATGAAATGCACTGTTTATGGTATTTTTCTAGGTGAATAAAATGTAGCTAGATAAGTGCTTTTTGAATGTTTATAAACTTGTAAAATGTGTAACTTGAGCTAGGAAAGTGATAAAATTATGATTCCAATTTTGCTGGTCTTGTGTTGACATGCTCTAGCTAGAAAAATAATAAACTTACAGTGAACTTGATTGAAATAGGGTCTTTCTATTTATCTATTAATAAATGGTATTTTCTGAGGAAATTTGTAGGGATAAAAATAAGTAACATATTGGCATGCAAATTTTTGTACAATATTATGGCACTAGGATGAAGCTAAAAAATATAGAATCTGTTGCTTGACACTTTTCTATAGGGTTAACTATTTTTACTAAAATAAACCTTACTAGCTTGTCATTTTTGTAAAGGATGTTATACATGTTCAAATAGTATGTAATTTTTACAATAGTCTATTTGGAGCACTTGGAAGCTACTGTAATTTTTTTAGAATTTATTGTGCACATTTGATATATGTTTGTTATTTCACCTAATTATCTAATTAAATTAATAAAGGCATTTAAATAAATAAATTGGGCTTGACCATGATGTTTTCTATGGTACTTGTGATACATATAAACCGTTGATGTTAGTAGTATGTCTTAAAAGCAATTGGTTGTATGTAACTAATTAATTATTGCTTTATAATTCAACTAGATGGCTGCATGTGTAGTTTTGGTTGAGTTGATAATTTCATGGTGATAATGGTCTTTTCTGTAAAACTTGTTAATAAACAAGTTGTAGATAACTTACTGATATACCTTGTGTTAAATTTTCATAGTCATAGGCCTTATGGTTTAAGAATTGTGGCTGTTAGAAGTCTGTTGTCCGAAATGTTTGCTCTCTGGACATATTTGAATAATTGAATTGTTTGACCTAGATAACTGTTGAATCACATTAAGGGCATTAAAATAAAGTTATAGAAAATTTCATAAGCTTTTGCAGAATGTTCACAACCATATTATTTTGATATATATAACTCCAATTATGGTTAAAACAAGTAGCTACTGTCTTGTAGTCTAGAAAATAAATTACAGAAGTGTTTGCTTAAGTCATAGAGAAGAGATATGCACCTATTCAGTAAAATAAGATGCAATTGTTATTACTTTAATACTATGCTAATGAAAACACTTATGGGTATGCATTCATCACATCAGATTATATTACACGTGTCATCGTATATGCATTCATGATATCTTGTTTCATGCTCATGCATATAAGATCGTCCGAAGAGATAACGTTGTTGGAGTTCAACGAAGAAGAGGAAGGGGATCAGCAGGAGACGCCCCAAGCCATAGCTTCTAGGAGAAGAGGAGCAGACTCCCAAAGAGCTCTCTGAGTGCCCGGATAACCGGCCAACCTCTTTCATTAAAGGCAAGCCCTGGAGCATTCTAAGCCTCCTATGTTTTTACAAAATATTACTTGAGTCATTTATGTTTAATGCATTAGGTTATAAGAGTTAATTGGAAACACTTGATGCATAGAACTCTCTTGTCTAGATATATATACACCTTTAA